AGATAGTTAAACTTATTTAAATATGTTTGTTTCTTTTAAGTCGAGAAAAATAACTTTGAAATTTGAACTAGCTTAAATAGCCAATTTTTCAACCGCCGGAAGCAACGTACGGTTGCCGAGTTGGTAAAATTTATGTTTTACACGCTTGGGGTACGAGGTTCCAACCCGCATATGGCAATGAATTTTTTGCATTTTTTCTTAATTCTTTTTAAGTTAGTATAAATTTTAACTCGTTTGATTTTTATCACATTTAGATTCAATAACTTCAATAAAGATCAAGGATCCCATCACTTTAGTCGCCCCTTGCAAGAAGAAATTTCTTATTCGTATTAAAATTATTTTACTATATTTTAAGTTTTCGCTTCGATGCAAAGCCGAGAAGATATTTTTTTGTGACTATCATTTATTTTCTCTGCTCTAACTTGACCTACTTTTTTCAACAATACGTCAAATTACTACAATTCGTATCTAGTTGAAGATATTACTCTCAAAAATTGAAAAAAAAATTCTAATTTATCAATTAAACAGTTAGTTATTACATCGTCTCCATAAAGACAATTAAAATCATTAATTTCTAATGTTTTCAAAATATTTATTAACGAATGAAGTTTGATATGATAGGTTTCAACTACAAAATTAAATCATTTTACTTTGTAATTTAATAATTTTTTTACTCTATTTGTGTGTGCTACTACTAGACTATAATATTACAATTTTTTTTTGTAACATGTTGCTATATAAATCATTTCTAAAAAAAATGATTGTTTTTTCTCCTGAATTAACAATTGATTTTTACAAATATAATCAAATTTTATAATACACTCAATTGAGTAAATCTTTTTAACAACTTTGTTTTGATTGGTACATTTAGTTAAAGTAAATCATTAAAATTAATTAAGTTCTCAATATTTCAATTATAGAATCTTTTCAACAAACAACAAAAGTTCCTAGGAAATTATTACTATTACTTCTATTTAAGTTATCTATTACCATAAAAATGCAAAAAAATATTGAGCTTTTCTGATAAATTTACAATAAATAGTAATTATAAAACTTTCTGACTGCATATTGATCTTAACGATACAATTTTTTTAATTGTCATAAAATTTTCTATTTAATTATGTCAATGTCAAACTTACCAATTGAGCTAAAAGTTATGGTAAAATAAATTTTTTTTTTTTATTATAAACATTTACAACAATCAACTTTAAACGATTAACAAAATAGGTTAAATATGTCATTTTCCTTATTTTTAACTTATTAATAATCAAATTAATATTAAATATTATATCAAATCAGTATTAATTTAAAACAATTTTTTTTGTTCTTAATTATTTTTTTTTATATGTAAAAACTATTTTTTAATAATATTAAAACTTAGAAGTTATAGAAAAAGTCTAATTGCACATTTTAAAACATCGCGAAAAGTTGATTTAGAATAGTATATTTTTGTTTCTGATGGAAGTTCCTTGTAGTCCAGTGTATAAAACTTATAACTTTGTTAATTGTTATAACTTTATCAAAAATGACCAAATCAGTATATTTTTTTTTATTTAGATGCATGTCTTTATCTATCATTTGGTTTTTTTTATAAATCTAACCCTTTACCTGCCCACAAGAGGGATTCAAAATATTAACTTTTTTTTTTTTAGTTAAAGTAAATCATTAAAATTAATTCAGTTCTGGATATTTCAATAGTAGAATCTTTTTAAATATCAAAAATTACTTAGAAATGATTACTATGATTTCTATTTAAGTGTTCTATTACGATAAAAATGCAAAAAATAATGAGTTTTTCTGATAAATTTACAATAAATAATAATTATAAAACTTTCTGACTGCATATTAATCTTAAAAATAACATTGTTTTAATTCTCATAAAATTTTCTATTTAATGATTCATTCTAGTCAACGAAGGAGTAATTTTGCAGAATAGCAGAAAAAATTCCCAACAAACTTTTTTTTTTTTTGTTTTAATTAGGCAATTGGTGGATTATTCCAAAAGCAACATCAACTCTTATTTCTTTAATTATATCATGATTAGTAGTTCTTTGATTTTAAAATATAATATATGAATATATACTAATTATAATTATTAAATTTAGTATGAAATTGATATTTAATATTGTAATTTAAACGGAGAAATTATAAAAATAATAAAGAAGTTATATTTTGCTTTACTTTTACGTGTATAAAAATTTAAAGGGCTTGATACAATAATTTTCAATAAAAACTGTTTGTTACTATAAAAAAATGCACTGGACTACAAGGAACTTTCATCAGAAGCAAAAATATACTTTTCTAAATCAAATTTTCGCGTTGTTTTCAAATCTGCAAGTAGACTATTTCTATCACTTCTAATTTTTTATATTATTACTAATTATATATATAAAATAATAATTAAAAGAAAAAAAAATTTGTTTTCAAATTATTACTGATTTGATTTTTAATATGTTAAAAATAATCAGTCCAAATTTTCAATTTTAACCTATTTTTTTGGTTCTTTAAAGTTGATGAAAAATTTTTGATAAAGATTTATGAAAGTTTATAGTAAAATAAATTGAATATATTACCATAACTTTTAGCTCAATTACAAGTTTAAAATTGACATCTAGGCCTGTCAACAAAGGAAAAATTGCGGAAAAAATTTTGTTTTTTTAAAAGTTGAATTAAAATATGTATAATGACATACTAATAGTCCTCAAGATTGGAATTGAGCTTTTTTTTTAAATCCTCGCAAAAGTTCAAAAATATGAGCTTTCTTAATTTTCTCAAAAAAAAATATTTAACTTACAAAAAAAAGTTTCGCACAAAAGTTGTTTAAAAGACAATTATAAATAAAAATATAATCTTATATTTTTTCATTTAAACAAATATTTTTCGAGTTACATTACATTTAATATGAGTAATAAAATTTATATTCCATTTTTTTCATTTTACGGTTACTTTTTATCATGTTATACTTACATTAGACACAATGTTATAAATGCATATGTGTGTATGTGTGAGTTTATTTATTTATTGTATCATTAAAGTGTAGTGTATATTGAGATACAACCGATAGAGTAGGTAATTGATTTGACGCTATATTATTTAAACCCAACTAAACGCTAAATTGTACATTCCGAAATAACAATCATATTATGTCAATTGCCACCGGAATATCTGGTAATATTTTTCTTTTTCTTTGCCTTAATCCCAACTACTTGGGGTCGGCCACCCTTATCCTAAGCTTCCACTTGACACGATCTCCCACATCTTCTACGCTCACATCAGCTGTCCTCAAATCGCATTCAATAGCATCCCTCCATCTCTTTTTTGGTCTTCCTCTATCTCTTCTTCCTTCAACATTCATTTCTATAACTGTTCTTACAGCTTTCGATTCTTCTTTCCTCATACCATGACTAAACAATCTAAGTCTATTTTCTGTCATCTTATCCACGATTGACGCAACACCTATACTTCCTCTTATATGCTCGTTCCTTATCCTATCTTCTCTAGTCACTCCACTCATCCAACTAAGCATTCTCATCTCTGCTACACTTATTCTCTGCTCTACTTTCTTATCAACCGCCCAACACTATGAACCATACATCATAGCTGGCCTCACAATTTCATACTAAATTTAAAAACTATAATTAGTATTTATTCATATATTATATTTTAAAATCAAAGAACTACTAATCAGGATATAATTAAAGAAATAAGAGTTCATGTTGCTTTTAAAATATTTCACCAATTTCTCTAAAGGAAACACTATCTACAGATTTGCATCGAAGCGTTTCTTATGATAGTGATTTTAATCACTGTCAGATATCATCTATACTTATCTCATCTATGCCACGTCTATACTGTGCCTCGACCCCACTGTGCTACCGTTTTTTATTATTAGATATAAACATTCAAAGATTCAAATTTTTTTGAGTTAATATATAAGTATAATACCTAAGGGATTACAAATACAGGTAGCTATTTGGTTTTTTTATGACGATATTAGCAAGCATATAGCCTTTATTATCAATGGTAACAAAACACATTGTCGTGAGTTTATAAACACACTAACTGGTAATGCAGAAATTATATCTATTGATAGTGATAATTGACAATAAACACTCCGTGACTCTAACAGCAAGATCATAAAAAACTAAAATAATTTTTAAAATAAGCTTAAAACAATAATGAACGAAAAATACTAGTATTATTGTGAAAAAAAGCAAGGGAGCTATATTTTCGTATATAGAGCAACCGATGCTTTATTTATTATTTTATAAACTTTAAATACATGATTGAAAAAAACGGATATTCATTATTAAGAATTTTGGATATAATTTAATGTAATAGAAAAAGTTTAATTGCACATTTAAAAACAGGGCGAAAGGTTGATTTAGAAAAGTATATTTTAGCTTCTGATGAAAGTTCCTTATAATACAGTGTATTTATTCCTAAGTAACGAAAATTTATGATAGAAAATATTGCATCAATCCCTGAACATTTTTATTCGCGTTAAAAAATTTGTTTCGGAGCGTTTCTTATGATAGTGATTTTAATCATACTCAGATACCATCTATATTTGTCGCAACTCTGCCAAGTCCATACTTTGCCGCGACCGCAATGTAATATTGTTTTTCCTTTAAATAAACTGTAAATATTATTTTTTAGTAATACAATAATTTGTAATAAGTTTGTTATAATTTATAAACCGTGTCTTGAAGTAATTTAACATTTATATAAAAAATAATTCAATTATAATCCATATATTTTTATGATCTATTACATAAAAAATGAATTGTGAGAGCATTTTAGAATTACCAGTATATATTATTAATATACAGGTTAATTCTATACATATTTACTGTAATTATTAAATAAATTATAAAAATTTGTGTAGCAATGTAGCATTTTTGTAACTAATTATGAGTATTTTCTTTTGTATTTATTGTGTTATAAACTTTAAATACATGATTGGAAAATCGGACATTTATTATTAAGAATTTTGGATATAATTTCAAAAATAGTATTTATTATGCAAGTAAAATTACATGATTACTCACAATATAATTATTATCATTTAGATCATGACGATTTAAAATATAATGTAATGGAATGTAAAAAATAAATAATAATTTATCAGAAAACTAATTAATGCAGCCATTCTCGTTAGCATATTTGATTATTTCAATAAAACCTTTTCTAGTAGCTTCATAAATGGTATTTATACTCCATGGACAATTATGTTCATGGGCGTATTTTAAACAATGAAACTGACCATTTGCAGCAGCAAGCCTAGTGGTGCCTTCATCCCATTTACATCCATTTTCGTGGGCATATATTAAATAATCTAAATTTCCACGCATGGCAGCTGTAACTATTGTACCTTCATCCCAATTACATCCATTTTTATGAGCAAATTTCAGACAATCAAAACAACCACTTGCAGCAGCTTCCCTTGTTGTACCCTCATCCCATTCACAACCATTTTCATAAGCATATTTGATGCATTCTAGATGTCGATTTGCAGCAGCGCCTCTCATCGTACCTCCGTTCCATTTATATCCAAGTTCATATGTATATTTTAAACATTCTAAATTACCATGCGCGGCAGCTGTATTTAATGTTTCTTCATGCCATGGACACTCCTTTTCATGAGCATAATTTAAACATTCTAAACAACCACTTGCTGCAGAAACTCTAGTTGTGTCATAATCCCATGGACATCCATTTTCATGTGCATATTTTAAACAATCAAAATAACCATTAAAAGCAGCAGCTTTAATTGTGTCATTGGCCCATTTGCAACCCTTTTCATGAGCATATTTTAAGAATTCTATTTTACCATAAAGGGCAGCTACTTGTGTTGTTTTTTCATCACACGGACATCCATTTTCAAGTAGATATTTAAAAATTATTAAATTACCATTCATTACTGCTGTAACTATTGAACCTTCATCCCATTTGCAACCGTTTTCATGAGCATATTTTAAAAATTCTAAATTACCAAAACTTGCAGCTGCTATTGTTGTTCTTTCAGGCCAAGAAAATCCATTCTCATGTGCATATTTTAAAATGTCAAAATAACCTTTTTCTATAGCCACAGTTGTTATTCTATTATCTAATGGACATCCATTTTCATGTGCATATTTTAAAATTTCAAAATAACCTTTCTCGATAGCAACAGTAGTTATCCTATCATCTAATGGGCATCCATTTTCATGTGCATATTTTAAAATTTCTATATCATCTCTTAAAGTAGCTTCTATAGCTATGTTATCATCTAATAGACATCCATTTTCATGTGCATATTTTAAAAATTCTAAATTACCAAAACTTGCAGCTGCTATTGTTGTTCTTTCAGGCCATGGTAATCCATTTTTATGTAAATATTTTAAAATATCAAAATAACCGTTCTCGATAGCCAGAGTAGTTGTCCTATTATCTAATGGACATCCATTTTTGTGAGCAAATTTTAAACAATTTATATTTCCTCCTATAACGGCATAACTAGTTATGTCTTTATTCCAGTGGCATCCATTTTCATGTGCATATTTTAAACATTCGAAATGTCCATTTGCAGCGGCCTCTATAGTTATGACATCATCTAATGGACATCCATTTTCATGTGCATATCGTAAGCATTCTAAACGCCCATATCTTGCAGCTGCTTTCGTTATGCTTGCATCCCATGAACATCCGTTTTCATGTGCATATTTTAAACAATCTAAATTTCCTCCTATAACAGCATATCTAGATATGTTTTTATCCCAGTGGCATCCATTTTCATGTGCATATTTTAAACAATCAAAATAACCATTAAAAGCAGCAGCTTTAATTGTGTCATTGGCCCATTTGCAACCCTTTTCATGAGCATATTTTAAGAATTCTAAATTACCATAAATGACAGCAACTTGTGTTGTTTCTTCATCACAAGGACATCCATTTTCAAGTAGATATTTAAAAATTATTAAATTACCATTCATTACTGCTGTAACTATTGTACCTTCATCCCATTTGCAACCGTTTTCATGAGCATATTTTAAAAATTCTAAATTACCAAAACTTGCAGCTGCTATTGTTGTTCTTTCAGGCCAAGAAAATCCATTCTCATGTGCATATTTTAAAATGTCAAAATAACCTTTTTCTATAGCCACAGTTGTTATTCTATTATCTAATGGACATCCATTTTCATGTGCATATTTTAAAATTTCAAAATAACCTTTCTCGATAGCAACAGTAGTTATCCTATCATCTAATGGGCATCCATTTTCATGTGCATATTTTAAAATTTCTATATCATCTCTTAAAGTAGCTTCTATAGCTATGTTATCATCTAAGGGACATCCATTTTCATGTGCATATTTTAAACATTCATAATGTCCATATAAAGCAGCAACTTTTGTTGCTTTTTTATTCCATTTACAGCCATTTTTATGAATATATTTTAAGTTTTCTAAATTACCATAAAAAGCGGCTGCTATTATTGTGATATCATCCCACGGACATTCATTTTCATGTGCATATTTTAAACATTCGAAATGTCCATTCGCAGCAGCTTCTGTAGTCGTGTATTCATCCCATTCACAACCACTCTCGTAAGCTAGTTTTAATGTTTCTAGGTCACCAATTTTAGCAGCTTTTTTTGTGGTACCATTTTCAAACGGGCATTTTTTTTTTCCACCCAAATATTTATTTTCAATACCTAAATGAGCACGTTAATTAAATTTTTTTTGTTGTATTCAAATTTAATTAGATTACTTAAAATTATGTAAGCAAATAAATAAGATGCCTGAATTTTTTTCCTTCTCTATTTTCTTTAGTTATAAATATTTTGTTTGAATATATTGATATTAACCCTTAAACAGTCGCGTGGGGGTCTAGAATACCCTCACATAAATAAAAACGGATGTATTATATTGCATAAAAGGTGTACATAGATATAAATTTAGAAGATGGTTTTTATAGTAATATTACGCGACTTGTAACGTTATAATTTTTACAATTATAATCAAATTTACGATTATAAATTAATCAAATAATACGCCCAATTGAGTAAATATTTTTAACAACTTTGTTTTTATTAGTTCATTTAGTTAAAGCAAATCAGTAAAATTAATTAAGTTCTGAATATTTCAATTGTAGAATCTTTTTAAACACCAAAAGTTACTAGGTAATAATTACTATTATTTCAATTTCAATTATATTACGATAAAAATGCAAAAAAATATCGATCTACTCTGATAAATTTATTATAAATAGTAATTATAAAACTTCATAACTGCATATTAATGTTAACGATACAATTTTTTTAATTCTCATAAAATTTTCTATTTAGTAATATCAATATCAAACTTCCCAAATATACTTCAAATATGTTTTGATAATAAGTATATTGTTTAGTGCATATTGTATAATTATATACAATTTTCTTATAAATTTTAACTGAGTGATATTCACATTTTATTCAAGATAATAAAAAAAAGTGGGCAGTATTAAGCCAACATGAACAAAGAGTATTCACCAAGGTGTTTACTGAATAATGTCTTGTCGCTAATACGCACTTTTAATACACTTCAAAAATAAGCGGGCTGTACATTGCCAATGTGATTTAAAAGTCATGTCGCTAGTACGCACTTATGAAGTGATAGTAGAAATGTGATATTATTATTTTATTAGTAAACAAAATTAAAGAATAAACCAATGGTTGTTTATGCAGTAATTTCTGAAATAAAAAATGGGTTCCGGAGATTGCCACGAACTGATGATGCCCCGACATTCATTTACTCCGACACTGTAAAAAAATCCTACGAATACATTTACTCCGACAACAATTACTACGAATACCTGGTTATAAAAATTTGGATGTTACTACGATGACGAATACTCCGAATAGGACTATTAATTGATTGCTCCGAATGACATTAGCTCCGAATATCGATTATTCGCGAAATCGATTAAAAAATTATCAAATTTCGGAGTAGATGAATATCGTAGCAATATATTATCTGATGGAAAAATATAACCCTTATCACCAATTAATAAATATTAATTAATATAATAAAATAGCGTTATAATTGATTACTGTCTATTAACGAATAATTATTACAATAAAGATCCCCGTAATGTATCCGACTTTTGATAAAATAGGTACATAAAGGTTAACTGGTGTGAGCCCTTAAATTTTTTTTTGGAGGGGAAAGAGGAGCGATTCCAATTTTCAGACGTAAAATCTTTTTTACCTCTCCTTATTAGTGCTTATTATAACATTGTAAGCACATTAATATTATAACATTCAATTAGTTTAGTTAAAAAATATAGAGGTACGTTTTTATGATGATAATATTCGTTATTAAACAGATGCGTTTATAAAGTTATTCGGTATCCCATTCTCTAAAACTGTCATTACAATTAGTTTCATATGAAATCAAACAAAAATATGATTTAATATCATTTCATTGTTCAA